GAGGGAGGGATGGATGTATAGATGTATGTATGTACAGTATGTATGGACAGATAGATGGAGGGATGGATGGAAGATGGATGGATGGATGGATGGATGGAAGATGGATGGAAGATGGATAGATGGATGCATGCATGGATGGTAGGATGGCTGGAGGGAGGGATGGATGGATGGATGATGGTTGGATGGATAGATGGATGAACAGGTGGATGGATGATAGCCAAAACATTTAGCAGATTTCAAAGAAAGTTTTTGCAGAAACATCAAGTATCTTTATTTATTTATTATATTTATTTATATATTATTTATTATTTAGTATTTCTGGGGGGAAAAATAAAAACGGTAAAAAAAGTGAAATCTTCTGAAAAGTATAAAAGTTAGAAACAACAATCTGCTCCAGGCATCAAACCATCACCTCGTTTAGGTTCAACATGAACCCCACTGTTCCTGAGATGGTGCCGGGGGCCCCTCTGGGCCCCCCTGGGCCCCCCTGGGCCCCCTGGCTGCAGACACCTGGGAGGCGGTCCCTTCATAAAACACTCTTTCCCTCCACCAACCGTCTCGCTGCAGTTTCATTCACTCGTTCCTTCTGATGATCATGAAGTGCTTGTTTTGCTTCGTAGTTTTCTCGTGCACGCGCTCTGATTTATTTATTGGAGTGTTTCTAATTTCCTGCGTGTGTTTGTTGTTTTATCAGTCGATCTTCTGTGGACGGTATTTACTGAAGTTTGTCAGATGTCTTCCACGAGTTCCTGAAGGTGTTGAGACGTCAGTCAGCTGCAGGTGTGAGATTTTTCCAGCAGAGCGGGGGCTAAAACTGGGGGTGTGAATCTCCAGCATCTGAGGATGTGTCAGAGCTCTTATTGTGCGTGCCTCCTGACAAACACGCAAACGCACCGCTCGCCGTCCTCCCTCTGTTCTGACTTGATGTTTTTCTAGAAGCCGTCAGGCCGTGCAGCTGATTCACATGTTCACATGCTTGTGTTGATCCATGGAAACTCATCAGCGCCGCCCGCTTCTCCTAGCAACCCCGAGTTAGCGCCGAGCTAACAGCCAGAAAACATCCGGGCCTCGGCTGGTTCCCCTCGGATCATCTGTTGGGCTTCAGCTGCTGCTGCTGCTGAGCTGGGGCTTTATTTACAATTAAAAACAAAGAAACCAGTGAAATGAAACAATACATTCAGGTTTTATTACCTCACGAAAAACAGTAAATAATAATTTAAACCGCTCTCATTTAGCAATTCCACTAATAAAACTGTTTATCCTAAATAATCCACAATTTAAAAAAGTATGTTGAACTGAGGAAATTTATTGAAGCAAAGAAGAATATTTAACTAAGTGAACTCCTTCCAAACGTTTCCAGTTTGATTTGCAGTAATTTAAGTTTTTATTCATAAACATTTTATTAAAATCTGTGCAGGTTTGATGGCGAACGTCAGACTGGTTGTGTTTTGTGACTCACGTGAAAAGAGTCAAAGTAAAAACACGATCGAAACACTTTTATATATTTTATTATAAACCTTTTAGTCACGTTCTTTATTGTAAATCTGCACCGGTGCGTCCAACGTGTTGGACGTCATCACGAATGGCGCTCACAAACATCACCATTGTTTACCTCTTCCTGCAGGTAAACAAACACAACATCTGGCTACAAACGTTGCTGACAATCTTCAAACGTTAATATGAGATCAATATTGTGCAGAGTTGGTTCTTATTTTATGACTTTTTTTTGACTGCGCTTCTGGAATTTGCCTTTAAGTTGTTAAAAATGAATTAGAAAAACATTTACTCAGTTAGACATGCAGTCTTAGAATAAAGGAAACAAATATTCCTTTTAATATTCCATTTAACCTTCCAAAATACTGATTTTATTTATTAATTTGTGTAATTTGTATCAATTGCTGTGACTTTCTGATGAGAGCAGATCCTTAAAAACACTCGGGTTTGATTGAATCAAGAACCTCCTTCTTGTGGCTCGGCCTCCTGCCACAGTCTGTGAATGAGCTCTTGTGATGGCGTCTGGGTGTGGGGGGGGGGGGGGGTCGGTCTAAAGCGTGATGTCACCGTCTGATGAGTGGACACGTTCTGCAGACGTTCTGCAGACGTTCTGCAGACGAAGGCCGGGGAAGGGCTGGGCCGTTAGCGGGACGTGATGTGAAGAGGAATGTGTTGTTGGCTCTGAGGAGCATCGTCTGCTGGACTCAAAGTCCATCTGTTACAGAGAAGAGGCATGAACCACATGAGTGCTTTAAATTATTAATAAACCTCTCCATTAAAAATCCTTCTTCTAATCTGCTGACAGAAAGAAGAAAATGCCGTATTTTTTGCTCTATAAGTTGCAGTTTTTTACATAATTTGCATGCCCTGCGACTTATTTATGTTTATATATATATATATATATATATATATATATATAAACCAATCTTTGGCTGAGATGTGACCGTTTTCATTCATTCTGACTGGAAATATTGATCACTACCATTTTCAGCCGCTAGATGGCACTCGAGTATTGTGGCAAGCTGGTGTGTCATGTAATAGGTAAAAGTGGCTATTAATGACACAATCGGCTTGCCATAGCCTGCCACCTTCGTCCAGCTCGCCTGGAGCAACCGTCAAATCGGCTTCATTTCGCTGCGCCGCCCCGGTGAAATGCAGCTGACTTGACCATTAAAGTGCATTTATTAAATAAAAGTTCAACTGAGACACACCTTTACTATAAAGTCGAGCAAACAAATAATTGTTTTAGGTGTTTATCGTGTAAAATTTTGAAGAAATGCGCAGCGACTCATCCCTCTGCGTGTTTCTACTTCTTTGTATCGGCTTTTGAAATGCAGCTGATTTGAGCGTCAAAGTGCATTTATTAAGGAAAAGTTCAACTGAGACACACCTTTGTTATAACTCCACATTTTTAAAAACGGTTACACAAAAATCAAACAATCGCATTACACAAAGAATTATGCAAACTGAAAATGGTGATGGAGCTCAATCTGAGGTAATCCCAAACTCAAAGTACGAAATTAAAAACTCCCACAGCCAGAAACTGGGAACAATTTAAAACCAGACTTTAAAGTGGCAGCAAGAAAACCAACAACAAGAAACAGGCTCAACATTACCGGAGGAAGCATCAGTTTTGTTGTGATTAACGAACAGAGAACAGGTGTGACGGGTCAGAAATGGACGAGTTTTAAAAGTGAAACAGGAAGTAAAGCTGACCACAATAAACAAAATAAATTAAAGCGTGAGGAAAAAAGCAGAACAGGAATAAAGAGAAGCAGAAAACAGAAACTAAATTCAGATTCTGGTTCTTTCGTTCCCACACAGTATCTGATGTTTCTGTTGTCGCAGCTCTTTCTTGGGATCAGACCTTGACCCTGAAGATGTCAGCTCCTCGGACCTGTTGAAGGATGAAACTGGAGAACGTCTTGCGTCTTTTCTTTAGTTGCACTCAGAGCTCCGGCACACTTTTGTTTCTCGGCACCGCGTCCTCGAGGGAGCGCTCGTTTCATTCCGTCTCTCAGCTTCGACCTCTGTACCCTTGCCACCATGTTCTGCTCAGCCCGGGCTGGTGCCACGCCCCAGTTGGGCTCCTATTTTTATCTTTTATTGTGATGACGCAGGTCACTGGAGCAGTGACGGGGTCAGCTTATTAAAAAGATTTCACTATAATGCAATGACCTCAACACTTGTTGACAGTTTAATAATAAGTTCACGGTTCGTTGCTGCTCAGCTAGTTCAGCTTTTTGCGTCACCTCAACATTGGATGATCCATATTTGATAAATCAGATAATAATTTAAACCATTTTACTTGTTGACGTTCGGTCATCCACAGAGTTCTAATGGAAAAGTAACGTTTGTATATCCAATGTTTTAATGTCCAGGTGAAAACCAGCCCTCCTCTAATCCTTTCATTTCAGTCATTGCTGTCAATCACCGTCATTTAAACCCTGAAAATGTCTCCGCTCTTGTTTCCCTTCGCAGGTATGAATGCGGCGGTCCGGGCTGTGGTCCGGATGGGGATCTACGTGGGAGCAAAGGTCTACTTCATCCACGAGGTGAGGCAGGACTCAGGATTTAGACGGGGCCTCAGGAGACTCAGCAGTCTCTGTTCCTCTCTGCAGCCCATTAAATCACAACGGAGCACATTTCTGCTCTGGGCCGACTGGATCTTAGAGACCCGGCAGGATTCCAGGGCTCTGAATCAGAACTGGACCTGCACCTGAGTTTTTCTGCTCTGCTGCTATTTGACCAAATTCATTTAAAGTTAATGATGAGAAATATTTCATGTAAATTTATCACAGGTTTGATTTCTCTACCAACCGGTGAGGAAGATTCCATTTTTATTCTGACCCGACCCACGAAACGTCCTCAACAAACGCTTAGCTGAGCTGGTTTTAATGGGAACGTGTAGAAAACAATCACAGATTCTTTTCTTATCTAAAGATGACGCAGTCTGAAAGAAAATAGCACACCAGCAACACTTTTTAAGTTTAGCTGTTTTAAAATGTTCAGCGAGTATTGATATTCTGACTTTTACAGCTTCAGAGGTGGTAAAAGTAGGAATGTGCATTTTAACAACTGCTTACTTCACTGGTGGCCTTTATGCAATGACACAAATATGAGCTGAGATATTTGGCGGGTTCGGATCCCGTGGAACCGGTTGTTCACACAATCTGTCGTTCCTGCTGCTTCTCTACGGTGGCCAGGAGGCGTAAATGTGCAACATTTCAAAACATATAATTACATTTTTTTTTAAAATACAACAAAAAGAACAAAAACACAACATCTGAGAAAACAGAATTTCATTAGGCCAATGTGGAAGTGGCCAGAATTACATTTGAAAAATGTAATAAATAAACATAATAAATAAATAATTTATTAAAGTAAAAAAAAAAAACACACACACACACTAAAAACAAACCCCACTTCCTCATTTTTTTTTCAAATGTGATTCCGGCCACTTCCACTTCAGCCACTTCCACTTAAGCCACTTCCGCTTCAGCCACTTCCGCTTCAGCCACTTCCACTTCAGCCACTTCCACTTAAGCCACTTCCACTTCAGCCACTTCCACTTAAGTCACTTCCACTTCAGCCACTTCCGCTTCAGCCACTTCCGCTTCAGCCACTTCCGCTTCAGCCACTTCCGCTTTGGCTTAATGCAATTCTGTTTTTTCAAATGTTCATTTGAGCCTCATGGCCACCGTACTTCTCTGGACGTCTCAGGTAGAAACAAGCTACTGGTTGATATTTTATAAAACTACTGCTGCAAAAGAAACAATGCTCCTTTAAACACAGATGGTGAGAAATTGTTGGCACCTTTATAAAGGAAGAGAAACCTGACCCCCCCCCCCCCCCACCCCCCCAGTGTGTATTTATAACATACGGGTTGACCACCTCTGTTACTGTATGAGTCATGTTTAGTGAATGGGCTGTTAATAAAACACGACTTGTCATACCTGACCCGTCGTGTTTTATGTTTATTACAGTTCAGGCCTCTATAAATATACATCGGATGGATACGTTTGCACTTGTTTCTTCTCGCTGAACTCAAACAACATCCATACGTACAAATTGTCTTTAAACTTTTAGAAATCTCTAATTTATGTGGCTGAGGTGGACATTTCAAGTGAACGGCGTAATCTCTGAGTTTATCATCATTTATCGTCCACCTGTCCGTACTGACAGTGGATCCACAGAAACTGTTCACCTGGAAAAAGTCGTCACATGTGAGAACAAGAAATCTCCTTTTAGTTGACTGTGGTCTAAAATGATACAATTAAAGACAATATTAACAGATTAAAGACAATATTAACAGATTAAAGACAATATTAACAGATTAACGACAATAATAACAGATTAAAGACTATATTAACAGATTAAAGACAATAGTAACAGATTAACAACAATATTAACAGAATAAAAACAATATAAACAGA